GGCAAGTCCATATAGAGATCGCGGGAAGAGGAGAATGCCGAGTAAACAATGGCCAACCTGGCCATCCACTGGTGGATCCACCAATAAGACGAGCCAGGCCCAGTGGTAACATCTCAAAAAGTTGACATCTGGGCTGGCCCCGAAAACGAACGAGACAATGGGATCGGAATCCTTGGCCAATGGGCGAAGTGCTTCTTGCCGTCTGAGGAGGAGGTGGACCCCATTCCCCGATCTCCAGAGCCCAGCTCTGACATTGATACATTGCCGGGCTGTAACTTTTGATCACTGTGCTGCCATTGTTACAATTTCAGTTCTTTTTGTGGCTTCGCAAAAGCAACCCAACAGGTTTCCCTCTTGCAGACGAAGGCTTCTGTTCTGAGCCCATTGGCTGCAAAGAGCAGCAAGGTGATCGATGAGATGTGCTTAGGAACCGCTCAGAGGTGGAACTAGTATTCCTCTGTGGAATGTTTAGGTTTAAATTTGGCAGTCACTTAATGGAACTGTACTGTATATAAAGATATACTATATTAATCGAGCATTAGCTTAGATTGGCACAGGTAGATGATCTGAAGAGTATTTATATAACTTCCTACGATTAATACCACAAAGGTCAATCTTGTTTTGATATTCATGTATTAATAAGGTGAGCTGGATGAATCGTTATTACATACTATAAAACTAGGGAACGTGATTGAGCTTTTTACTTCTTTAAAACACTTTAAAACTTGAAATATTGTTTCATTTAGCTAATTTTTAAGTTTAGTTTCAAAAATTAACATACTAATTCTTCCATTTAAGTGTTGATATTTTTGGACCACAACATTGTAATACTAACTCATAGCAATGTCATTAAGAGCCTGAATACCCAATTCCACAGCTACTGCACTTTTTATTGTTTCTGGCGAAGGCACTTAAAAACTTTCCAGATTGATTGTTTATTTGGAGCACTCGCTAATAGGTCGCTGGTGGCAATGATGCAGTGCCCCGTGTCCATGGTAACTGTTTTGACGGACTGTAAACCCATCGACAGCACATTAGGGCACTCAGCGTCCAATTGATTTACAACAACGGGCGACCATCGGATTCGGGATGGGCCTGTGGAGCTCAGCACTGAGCACAGAGCACGGAGCACGGAGAACTGGCCACAGAATTGTGGCCAAAAGTGGCCCACAACAGAATCACAGCCCCATCATCATCATCCACTCCCACCACCCGGTGGGCAAGTGGCGATGGAAATAATTCAAATATCGACAAACACTCCCAGCAGCGGAATCAAAACACCACAAATCGCGGCTCGTTCGCATCCCAAAGATACACAAAGCTGCAGCGAGAGAGTTCTGGGATTTCCGTGGGGTGCAGGCCATCCGATGGAATCGCATCCTATGTTTATTTGTTCGTTTCAAGTGGGAAATCGGTGGACTGATAGCGAGAGTTTCCCTCAGCGGCAGTGTCGCCTCAGGTGGAGTGATGTCCCAATATTCAACGGAAGTTTAAACGCTTTTCTTGCAGTTTTTCGAACTTTTCTAGAATTATTCTTGATCATTATCTTTAAATTATATATTAAATGTTATTTTTGTATTTAATGTATCTCCGAACTATTATTTTCATGGCCTTAAACATTTCCCCTCGACTGTAGACAGTTGAGTCTTCCATCTTGCAAAAACGCGAATCTCTCCTTATTCGCCAGCTTTGACCTCCTGCTTTTGGCCAATAAAGTGTAGATCGTAAAAATTATTATTTATAATGCGAAAATTTGTGGTATCTGGATGCATTAATTGGCATTGCCCCTCCTATCACCACGCAACCCCGCCGGAGATGGGATATTTTCTTGGCCTATTGTCAGAGGCGATGACGACGGCAGTTCGGCTGAGACTTTCCATGCGCGAAATGTGCGAAAAAAATAAATTCTGCTGTTTTATTTATGTTTACAAACTGATTTATTCCGCAGCGCTGGCTTCGTGCTCGTTGCATGCCTCAAATTTATTTTGACAGAGACGGACAACCCAGTAAATGGAAAGCTATATGTGTATCGGCATATGGATCTGCTGGCATATCGCTTTCCTCGGATGGAATTGCAAATTGAGTTTCGTCGGGGAAAGGAATGTGACTCGCTGTGGCTAATGCGTTCTCAAATTGGTTAACAATAGATTCCGGCTAACTTCCATATTTATCGGTTGGCATCTACGACCGGCAGAATCGAGAATCGTAATCAACTTTCTTTCGCCGAATCTATAACAATAGAAAAGGCTTTCCCCGCGATTCAGCTGGCCACTCACACTCCCTCGCTGGCGTGCCATTAAAAGAGTTAACCATCATAAAGTCAGTGGCCAGGAGTCGGGTGCCGGGTGCCAGGCTCAGCAATACAATGGACAATGAGCACATAAATCAGTGTAATTAATAGAAAACTAGCCAAGAGCCAGCCGATCCGTTCGTCGATCCCCACGCATGAGCTGGCACTGGAGCACGTGTGTGCCAGGTCCGATTTGGTCACTCGGATTCGGACTTGGGAATCGGAATACCAAATTGCCAAATCTCTCAACCTCATTAAGAGTTCGAATCGAAGGCATTGGGAGAGGGAGATCTAGACTCTATCTATCTACGATTTCCATGGGAGTCTGTTTAGTGTAAACACTGGGCCTGGGCCATGCCAGCGCATTCTCATTATGCGTTCTCGATTGGGTTTTGGCCCATTTATCTCACAGTTTGAGGCAAACGCATAAATCTCTCAACGGCCAGCGCAATGCGATATTTCAGTTCGGAATTAAAATAAATATTTAAAGGGATGCTGGGATATTTTTAACAAAATTCAATTTATTATCAATAAAGCAAAATTCTAGTTCTGGACTTTGGCCAGGCGCATCAATCAACGGACCCACGAGGTCGTCTCCAAGGAACTAATTCATTCATTTGCCCGGCACCAAATCACTGGCCATTCATTTGCCAAATGTCCGGCCGGAGAACGGACCCCAAATGGATCAAAAACTCCTCATCCGGATGAGGTGAGGACTCGGGTACGGAAAGGGGTGACCGGTGACCCGGAGTGGGAGAAGTCGTAAAAAAGAGTCACCTGCAATAAGTCAGAGGCGAGACTCAAGCAGTTTGACGGCCGGCTGCTGGCTTGTCCTTCAAATTACAGCCTGATTAGACTCGTGGGACATCCAAACCATTCTCATCTGTTGTGGCTGACTAAGAGATGCTCCTGGGCGACTTGGAGCGGAGGAAGGGGTCGGCGGGCCCAGATTGATGAGCTCTGCGGCTGCCTCTAAATAGCAACCTGAGAAGCGAAAGTGATAAATATATGGCTGGGCATGTGTCCACAGTGATTTTAGTTAAATGGAAATAGAGGGAAATAAATGGAGAAGAGTCTCTCTAGGAAAGGGGAAGCTATGCTTGGTTTTTAAGATCTTAATAACATCATAGGATTCTTAGATACTTAGCCTGTACATTAAGACAGTATTTTCCTCTGTTAGATTACAACAAATTAGATAACCTAAAAGGAAATATATTCCCGAACTGATAACATAAATTCGGGTTTGGCCTGCGATCGTGTGACAGAAGTCTGAAAGTTATTGACAAGGCCAGGACATAAATTATGGCCTCGGCAGAGCGTTAATCGCACATTTAACTGGCCGGGCTTAAACTGCAACTCGGGTAGCTTAAACGTTTGGCAAATCGGTGACTGGGGGCAACATCGATGCAGAGTCGCAGAGGAGTTGCAACAACTTTGTTCCAGCGATAACAATCGTGGTTGCAGGAGCAGCAGGAGCGGCCCCATCGATCCCGATCCCGATCCCTATTCCCCAGGCAATCGGAGAACGCAGTGAGAGATGCAACGGGCCAGAACATAGTCAGCAACACAAATAATTCGCTTTAATGAGATCGCAATCTCGGCGATTTGCGACAAAAACACACGCGGTTTCATCTCCATAAACTCGACGCAGATGCAGATACAGATTCCCAGTCCCAATCCGAATCCGATTCAAGTGTGTGAATGTGCTGTGCGTGCCTCTGATCACTGCAGAGATGAAGATGAGCCAAAGTCGAGAATCTCGATCTCGATCGAGCCACAAATCCCCAATGACGACCATCGAGCCCAGCGTCCAATCGATGCAACAACGTGGAACGATCGCTGGCTACCAGTGTACACTGTGCAACAAGCTTTTTGAGCTTGAAAAATAATAAATATACAACTTTTTATTATTATAAAGATGTAGAATGGGGAAGACCCAACGAGTATATAAAGACAGCAAGGAACTTTTTATAAATCAAAATTAAAAATCTCCCTTTAATGGTGATTAATTTCTATCAGTGTATCCCTTGTTATGGCTGTTCTCTGCTGCTGTTGCGCTCATGTTGGCTGTCAGCGCGCTTGACTTGTTGCCCCCCTTTCTCCGCCGGCCCTTCTGGCCATCTCGTCCTCCGTCTGTGTGTAGCCCCGGCTTGTTGACATGCTCAGCATGCTTAGGCTTACAGCCAGCAGTCCGAGTCCACCAATAAGAGCAACTGCAGCAGTCAGAGAAGCCTCCCAGAGATGTCAATGTGTCGTGAAAGGGCCTCCCTTTTGGCCAGCAGAGACGCGGCCGCGACACATGGCTCTGGAATTTCAATAATTTAATGTAGACCTCCAGTCCACTATGTGTATATAGCCAGCCAACCGCCGAACAAGCTCCCTTCCCCCGCAGCCTTTCGTCAATTCACAGCCGAAAGTTTGGCTCATCACGTGCCACGCCACGAACATTTTTTCGGACAATTAATGGCTGCAATTAGTGCGACATGGCGCTGATTAAAGTTGGCGGGGCCGAGGAAAGCGACCCCAAAAGGAAAAGTTGGTCCTAACTGCATGTGGGATGACGAATGTTCGACACTCCCGGAAATTCCGCAACATTTGTAATACAAAGGGGGAAAGGGGGGAACACTAGTTTATTAATGACGACTAAAAATAAAAGAAAACTTGTGAAAAGTTGGCTATCGAGAAATGTCATTCTCTCAGCATTGAAATTTCAAATTTAACCAACACTTTCGCGCTCTCTTTTGGAAAACAAATGCTGAAATTATTTTTCCTACAAATCGCAAGCAAGCGCAGCCTTCGAAACATAGAAAAGTCCTTACTCTCGCAGTCCCTAAACCACCTAACCATGTCCCGACCCCAAGCCTCGGTCAATCATCCCACCGACCTGAGTCGTCCTTCGGTCGAGGTAGGAAGCTCCAGGATCGTGTATCCAGAAGCACGGAAGGATGGCAAAATGGAGGAAATGCTACATGAGTACAGAATCAAAGACGTCTACCGTTGGCTCGAGGATCCGGACTCGGAGGAAACCAAAAGCTTTGTGGATGCCCAGAACAGTATTAGCCAGCCGTTCCTCGAAAGAAGTGAGGAGTGGGAGAGCTTCAATGCCAAGCTGACGAAGATCTGGAATTTCCCCAAGTACGGATGCCCCTCGCATCACGGTGACTACTATTACTACTTCAAGAACACTGGCCTCCAGAATCAGAGTGTCCTGATGCAGCAGACCACTTTGGAGGCCCCCGAGGTGGTGTTCCTGGACCCCAACAGCTTGTCCGCCGATGGAACCACAGCTTTGAGCCAAAAAACATTTTCGGAAGATGGAGCCTACATGGCCTATGGCTTGAGTGATAGCGGGTCGGATTGGAATAAGATCCGTATTCGAAAGGCTAAGGAGCGAACTGATTTCCCTGAGACCCTGGAAAAGGTGAAGTTCTCGAACGTCTCCTGGACGAAAGACAACAAGGGCTTTTTCTATGGTCGATACTCCGATCAAGACGGAAAAACGGATGGCTCGGAGACAAAGCAGAACGAGAACCAAAAGCTGTATTACCATCGAGTTGGAGAGAGCCAAGCTCAAGATACTTTAATAGCTGAGTTCCCAGAACATCCGTCTTGGCGCTTCCAAACCGATGTTTCGGACTGTGGAAACTATCTGATACTGTCCATCAGTCACACTGTCCGAGATAATATGCTGTACTATGCTGACCTGAAGCCGGAAGAGCCTATCACTGGCAAGCTGGAGGTTAAGCCCATTGTGGATAAGTTCGAGGCCGACTACGACTACATAACCAACGAGGGATCCAGGATGTACTTCCACACAAACAAAGATGCTCCCAACTACCGCGTGGTTGTGATTGACTTCACCAATCCCGGCGAGGATCAATGGACCACCTTGTTAGCCGAACACGAGAAGGACGTTCTGGAATGGGCCAAGTGCGTCAACGAGGACAAGCTCATGGTTTGCTATAACAGTGATGTCAAGCACATTCTGCAGGCCCGTGAGCTGCACACCGGCAATCTCATCCGGCAATTTGGCCTGGATATTGGGTCCGTTAATGGGATTTCAGGAAAGAGGAAGTACTCAGAGATCTTCTACGGCTTCTCATCGTTCCTAACGCCTGGCACCATTTTCCACTATGACTTTGCCAAGCCCGTTGAAAAGCCGAAAGTTCTTCGGGAAATTAGTCTGAACTTGGAGGGCTTCAACCGCGAGGACTACAGCGTGGAGCAGGTGTTCTATAAGAGCGCCGATGACACCAGGATCCCCATGTTCATCATCCAAAGAAGGAGGGATGCAGTGGTGCCCCGACCTTGTCTACTGTATGGATACGGAGGATTTAACCACAGCCTGATGCCGTCCTTCGGCATAACCAGTCTGATGTTCATGGACACCTTCGACGGAGTCCTGGCCTTTCCCAATCTAAGGGGAGGCGGGGAATACGGCATAGAGTGGCACAATGGAGGTAGATTGTTTAACAAACAGAATGTTTTCAACGACTTCCAAGCTGCCGCAGAGTACCTGACCCAGAATAACTACACCACCAAGGACCGGCTGGCCATACAGGGCGCCTCCAATGGTGGCCTGCTGGTGGGTGCCTGCATCAACCAGCGTCCGGATCTTTTCGGAGCAGCCGTTGCCCAAGTTGGAGTTATGGACATGCTGCGCTTCCACAAGTTCACCATTGGGCATGCATGGTGCTCCGACTACGGCAATCCCAATGAGAAGGAGCACTTTGCCAACCTCTTCAAGTACTCGCCACTGCACAACGTTCACATTCCCCTGAACCCAAATCAGGAGTATCCCTCGACCTTGATCCTGACTGCCGATCACGATGACCGAGTAAGTCCCCTGCACTCTCTGAAATTCGCCGCCGCTCTCCAGGAAGCCGTGCGGTACTCGGAATATCAGCTCAATCCCATTCTTCTGAGGGTCTACACCAAGGCAGGCCATGGAGCCGGAAAACCAACCAAGATGCGCATCAATGAGGCTACGGACATCATCACCTTTTACAAGAAGACCCTCAATGTCGACAAAGTCAATCTGTGAGCAAGGTATTGGCCTTGAACTTTCTGGTGATGAACTGAAAACCTTTCTTAAGATTAACTTTAACTTTAATAGCGGAATAAGGTAGCAATCTCTAAGTTAACTCATTTCGATAAGGTTCAATTGGGATTAGGGATTGCTTTCTTACACAATGATTATGTTATTAGTTTTCTAACAGCCTAACAATGATTCCAACCCAAGGGGACTAAAACTGCAAGCACACATCTGACATTTTCAATTACCCTTTCACTTCAGAGTCAGATAAAGATAGTTCAGAGGTATCCATGCCCAAAACCCGAAGAGACTGCTTTTGATGTCGTAAATCAAATGTTAAATCAGTTGCATTTAATTAGAAAAAAGGCGCCCAAACATCGGAGCTGTCAGGGCGGAGAAGCTTCCATTCTGAGCACTTCTCCGGCTCCGTAATCGCATGATAGTCGAACGATTAACGCTCAATACGGGCGCTGAGCATGCGATATAAGGTATAAGGGGCATGGTATGGGTATGAGTATGCGATGTAAGGAGGGCTCTGGGGCCGGGATCGAGGCGGGAGCGGAGAGGGACCGTCAGACAGAAGCTGCCAGAGGCGAACAGGCCGCCAGCTTCTGCCCACTGACATTGGGCCAAGAGCGGAGAGCGTTTTGGTAGTTGTGTAATGTCTGCTGCCAACTTCAGGGTCCCAGCATGGGTCTGCAGATCCCGAGCTGTGGGTATCGGAGCAACGCGATCGAAAATGGATTTGTATCAATATCGACTCACTAACATGATTCCAATAAATTAATATGCATACATGGCAGGCACACAGACAGCGACTGTTGTTGGCTTTTTGGCCAGAGGACGGAGTCTGCGACTGGGAGACGGGGCAAGGAGTCTGGAGATCTCGATCGACATCGCAACACGATGATGCATGTGCAGTGTCTCTGAGTTGTGATCGTGTTAATGTAAATAATTGCCAGCCAGTCGGACGAGGCCCAGTCGAATGGTCCTACGGAGTGGCTCGGTAGATGTAATTAAAATCTCTCCTCTTCTCACTTTCTGGCTGCATTTTGTCCGGCTTGTTCGCCGTTGGCCAAGAGAGATTCGTCTTGACTGATATGAGAGTGCGCGACATACACGCAAGTCTGTCCCTCAACAACCCCCTCCCTGCGATTGCATTTTCCCGCCAACTTTGGGGAGCTTGATGCTGACAGTTCACGATTTTGGCTTGGCATCTGGCGAGATTTGCTGGGGATTGAGTGAAGAGAAAAGCTCTGAAGTATCTCGATTCAGTTAGCAAGCCGCCTAATTGGGTTTGTAATTTGCATTAGGCCAAGTGGCAAACATTTCCAATGGTAGTTTCTTTAATTGCAATCGCCTCTATCAGCACTTAGTCACAAAGAGTCTTTAAGTGTGAAATTTCGGATTTTTATGAGTTTCTTGGACAGTCAAAAGATTTCACGAAGTGAAGTTACAATTTAACTGCTGATAAAACAAGATTTTCCTCTGCCTAACTTTCGTTTTTAACAGTTTTGTATTCAGCTAAAAACCCAATAAAAAGGTGCAAAAAGTTAAAACCAATTTGGTACCCCAACAACCTCCCATCGATTGCTGGCTGCAGTGCGTCTTCAACTTTGAATGCAGATTGTTGCACGTGACCCAAAGTGAAAAACAAAAAGAAGGAGCACAAGGGCCTGGCCCTGGCATTGGGCTGAGCTGGTTGCCTACTTCACTTACTCGAATGTCAAGATGGCCAAAAGGACCCGAGACGAGGCCCTTGTATCGGAACATTCTACTGTCCCCGGCTTATTTATGGCCTCAGATGCTGAAGATATAGCGCCAGACGAGGACGAAGACCGACTTTGCGTGGATTATTTTAAAACAGATATCGGCGGGCGATGGTGACGGCATTTCACAGGAACAGCAACACAGTGATATACACTGAGAGAAACAAGTGGCTAGATATACTTATAGTACATTTACAACTAAAGAAGAGCTTTAGCAGTTTATGACCTATAATGCAGCTTTCTAACCATTTTCTGATTTAGAATCGTTAACCACATTAACAGCTAAGTTTCTCTCAGTGCTGCCCAGAGCGAAACTGAAACCGTAGCTGAAAGCTTCCATTTTCCATATCGATGCATTGTTGATTAGTCCCAGCGATGTTGGGGCTGGAATATTTGGGTTGCATTTCACCTGGTTGCCACAGAGTCACGCACGCACTCCAGTTCCACAGCCCGTCTGCCTCCCCATACCCATTCCCATTCCCCATTCCATACACCAGATCCAAGATCCCAGCTGAGATCAGTAGAGTTGTCAATCAGAGTTACCGATCCCTTCCGAAGCCCCTTCAATCCCGGCCGTTTCGCCAAAGTCGCCATGTCATTATTTGTGGGAACCAATCCTAAAGAATTCTTGTGTCTGGCGGCCAGCGCAAAATCGACAATCATTACTCGAAATACATGCCCAAGTAAAAGCGAGTCGCAGCAATCAATCAATCACGGCCACAAATCAAACATGTCAAGCCGAACTCGACTCCAATCCAGTCTTGAGTGGCTCTGGAATCGAGTTCACTTCGCACAATGGCGCACATATATGACAGATCATCAGCATTCGGATCGATACTGTGTTCACTTCGAGCCCATCATTGCTCACTTTTCGAGAGGGTTTCGCTGGTTTCGGTTTTACCTTTATTTATATTTCATTATATTCATGGGACTCTCAAGTACTCGACTAGGTGAGTATACAAATAGAGGTTAATGAGCTTTTTCTTTCTCTCAGTTTTGTCCAGCTCGATGATGGTTAACGAAATGTGTCAAACGAATGTGCTTATTGTGGGTCTGTGATGGATTTTACTACAGTTACTAATAGTAATAATATAAGAAGCAGATGTTAAAACTCCGCCAAATATCATCTTCATTAAGAAATCCTCTGCCTTGACTAAGAAATTCCCTGAAAATCCCATCAGCTCCTGATCCATTTTCCACTCTAATGATCTAGCAAATGGCACTTTCAACTACAATGCTTTCCCGTAATGCTCAGACCAAATAGGTGGTGATCTCTCACACCTCTCCCCACAATCTTCCGATATTTTCGTAACCCATCCCTCGGATCCTGCGGCCATCCCCATGTTTGTGTTCTGCAATTAAATTCGTATTCTCTTACAATTGAGGCGCTCGAGTGGAGTTTCCACGAATCTCGTGGATATGGATACGCTGACAAGCAGATTGAGATGCAGATGCCGATGGTGGAGTAGGAGTTGGGGTTGAGGGGGAAGCTGATTCCGAGGCAGCTGCAATCTTGGCCGAGACCGTTGGCTGTTGGTTCTAGGCCCGTTTGTTGTTATAGGCCCTTTGGAACTGGGTACTTGGCGGAGTGCGTGTGTTTATACTACCTATGGTGGTGGAAATTATCAATGGGGGAGGCTGCGGGGTCTCTCAAGCACCGGGCATATCAAAATAATCAAATTTTTGATTGAGTGCAGTTAGTGCGTCTGTGTTTACACATTGTAGACGACGATGATCGAGAGATCGATTCGACTCATAATCATTGCCCCGAGGAGCCTGGCTGCGTTTTCGTTTCGTTTTAGTTTTCGGTTTTCAGTTTTGTGTCCAATCATGTTGTTGATATTGATAATGACATTGATGGCATCGAGTTGCCCTGAGTGACTGTGTATCTGCACTGGAAGAAAACAGATCGTTTTTCTTACTTGGCTATGAAAGTATTTTCCTACTCAGGAACAAGCTCTTTGCAATGTAAAGAGCAGCATTTACATTCCTTTCTCAACTTTTTTCTCTTCTAAAACTTACTTAAATGTAAAAAGCAATAAGAGTTTTCCCAGTGCACGTACAGCTTTACATCTCCAACTCGATCAAAATCTCGAACTCAATCTCGAGTGCGAATGCATTCGATTGTTGTTTGCGCGGATTTTTGATTTCGAATGTTCCGAAGCTGCCTGATGGCTGTCAATCCGGTGAAATCCGGCGCAGTTCGAGGGAATTGGAATTGGATACTGAAGCCAGCCGAGACGGACGATGATATTGACATTATCGAGACACTTAAAATTTGTCTGCACACAGTACAGCCTCCATGTAAGAGATAAATGCGCAAGTGCCAATGCGCAATGATAACTTCGAGAGCCTCCTTATTGTTTTCCCATCATTAGACATGCGATACACTCGCTGATGGGGCCCTCAGCAAGATTCATCGGGCTTGTTGGCTTTGGATTTTGATGGATTCGATGCACTTGGCCTGGCAGATAACCAGATCGGACAAGTGAAAGCGCTGTGAGAGTTTGTTGTGGAAGAAACTTTGTGGAAGAAACTCACTTATATAGTATTATTGTGGTTAATAAGCATTAGCAGATTCAATACTGTAATATAGAGGAGATGGGTTAAGGTCTCCTTAACACTAAAGCAGAGGTGCTCAAAATTGACCTAGGCTAGAGCATTTACTAACACAAATATAAGAATTCGTGCACATATTTAGTAACCCTTTGTGTTGGTTTGCAGATGTACACTGAGGTTTTTTTTTTGCTAAGCAATTTATCTTTTATTTTAACACTAACGTCGATAGTCCACTGCGAAATAAACTCCAAAGTGCAAATATAAGTTATAGGGAATGAGCAAGAGTTCGAGGATGATCCAAAAAAAACAAGAACAAAAATGAGACGAAAAGAGGTACACGAAAAAATATATTTGCAGAGAGCATTTATAAAAACAAATAAGCAGTCTGAGCAGCCCCCCACTTAAGTAATACATATACAACTTTTATCATAAAAGGCTTGAATATTTCAAACCTTCTTTCTAATTTTAGATTTAAAATTTCCTTTCATCTTAATCATGTGCGTTTTTCTGAAGAAACAGTCTTCTTACATATATATACTTTGAAGTTTTACAAAATATAAATCAGTTCTGAATAATCATAAGAGATACACCTTTCCCTGTTCTCAGTGTACATGTAATAGCCCTGCTATTGAACAACCCCTCAAATCATAAAATTATTAAATCTTGACCCGAATTCCAGATGGGAAATCCTGCTGGAATAACAAAGCCGCTGCCATGTCCATGCCTAACAAAGATAAATATTGGCCCAGGCAAATAGTTTCGAATGGCTAATAGATTGGCACTTTTAATGGCGAATGATGAGCACCATAGAATCGAATGGCCCGTCGACAATCCAAGCAATTAGCAGAGCACCCCGAAAACAATTTGCCACATTGTCGACGGCATTTGGCGGTGC